GCTGCTAAATCAAATATATATTTTTTTTTTAAAACTGGGGCTTACACAAAAATTTGAACTTCTGTTTTCTCTTTAGAAGAACAAACATCTGCCAATTCTGGACTACACTGCAGTACATTTATGCCACCTACCCTGATATTTAGTTACCTGAATAAACACTTAATATTTTGTCAAATCCTACAGGTCAGCCAGGCAATCTTGATCTGGGTCAACTTGGCTGGCTTCTATGGTCATGGAGGTTGGAAGTTCTAGGATGGCCTTGCTCGTGTGTCTGGGCCATGTGAAGCAGGCTAGCCAGGTCCATCCACGTGGTGGTGGTCAAGGGCTCCCAAGAGCATCAGAACAGCAAGGGCCAATGTTCAAGTGTTCTTCACATCTGCTAATGTCTCATTGGCCAAAGCAACGCTCATGGCCAAACCCAGATTCAAGAGTTGGAAAAATAGACTCTACTTCTTCATGTGAAGAGTCGCAAAGTCATGTTGCGAAGGGAGCATGTTTTCAGGGGTGGGAACATTTTGTGGCCATTTTTACAACTCACAATAGCCCACTTTGCCACAGTCAACTGCAAGTGGGTAATTGTGCTTTTCTTTGAAGACACGCCCTCTAGGTCATTATAAGCCCCATGCCTCTACCCCAGTGAATCATTCCCACCTTATCCTCTGGTTTATGCTTTTCCCAAGCACCTGTGAGCATTTTAGTTGGACAGTCTGATTCAACTACACTCTCCCAAACCCTCCTGGTCACTGCTCCAGTCACTGCCTAGTTCCTGCAGACAGTTATTAGGGAACCAAGAACTGAAGGCAGAGAAATCCAAGACCTGCGTGAAAAGGTTTAAGAATAAGAATATTTGGGGCCAGCAGGTGGTGTGTTGGTTAAGGTGCTGGATTCCTACATGGCTGACCATGGTTTGAGACCCAGACCTGACAGCGTGAAACTCACACCAGGCATGTGTATGTATGTTCCTAGAATTTCAGGAGGAGAATTGAGGAGAGGGAATTGCAGCCTCACCATCCCTCCTCAGGGGTGATTTCTCACCTTTCCTCTTTCTGTCTCTCTCCAATAAGCACATGACCCTATGGGAAAAACCTAAAAAAAAAAAAAAAAATCAAAAAGAAGCACAAAGGGCCAGCCCCATAGCCTAGTAGTTGAAGGAGTTGGATCACACCCAGCCAACCATGGTGCCATGCCAGGTGGACTTGAATGCATGCCTAAGATCCCAACAGGATGGAGAAATAGAGGAGAATGGATTGACCACATCTCATCAAAGGTGCCTTCTCCCTTTTCCTTCCCCTCTCTTTGTCACTGTCTCTCTGGTAAGCACACGGGCCCTCTAAGGGGAAAATAAGCACATAAAACTTAAGAGGAACTGTCACCAAGGAACAGGGTAGTCCAAGGGCTCTCAGCTCTGGCTGCACTGAAGTTACTGTTGCCCAGGCTACGCTCAAACCAATTAAATCAGGCTCTCAGGGGCAGAGGCTATCCCAGGCATACTCCTATAAGCTTTCCAACTAATATTTTTTTGAGAGATGTTTGCTATAGGGTGCATGTGCTTGCCAGAGAAATAGAGAGAGATGTAAGAGATGTAAAATGGGAGGAGGGATGGCTGTGCCACAATCCCTTCTCCTCCATCTCCGTCCTCCTCTCCAGAAGATGGGCATGCACACATGCACGGCACCCAGTGTGAGTTTCAAGTCACCGGATTTCAGATTCAAATCAGGTTGACCACATGGGAGTCCAGTGCCCTAACTATGCCACCTGCTGGCCCCCTCTTGCTAATTCTAACCACTAACAGAGCTGAGAACCACTAGCACTGAGTTAGTTCTATCTCAAAACTGAAAATGTTGGCCAATTCAGTAAATAAATCGATGGCCTCATTGGTAACTGCCCAAAGGAACTGCAGCAGAAGCGTTCAAATAAACAATTTGATAGAAGGCAGCACTGGGGCCAGCAGGTGGCATGGTGGTTAAGGCAGCTGGATACCACTGGGCCAACTAGAGTTCAAGTCCTAGACCCTATTACTTGAAAAACATGCCAGGCACATGTGCATATGTGCCCTGAATCGGAAAAAGAATGGAGGAGAAGGGATTGTGGCATGGCCATCACTCCTGGATGGTTATTTCTCACTTTTCTTCTGTCTCTGTCACTGTCTCTGGTGAGCACACATGCCCAATAGCATAGAAAGAAAGAAAGAAAGAAAGAAAGAAAGAAAGAAAGAAAGAAAGAAAGAAAGAAAGAAAGAAAGGAAGGAAGGAAGGAAGGAAGGAAGGAAGGAAGGAAAGAAGGAAGGAAGGAAGGGAGAGTTAATGCATTTCAGTAACTAGGCAATTTCCTTTTACAAGACCCTAAACTATTAAATAACGTTAACCCAATCATACTGGGTGCCATGCACCCGAGGTCAGACTTTGGGAAAGAAAAGGGGTCCTGTCGCTGTCCCCAGTGTACTGACTCAATCAATGCTGCTATCACTGAGACCAGGGGTCTGACTGAGGACTATCTGGTGGCACCAGCTCCTCAACTTTCGTGTGTGCTTTCGTGGGGGAAGATAAGAAGACATAAATGATAGAGACAAACTCTCTGAATCCTGCAGACATGTGTTAAGCAAAGTGACTCATCAGTTATCAGGGAGGACTCTGGGCTGTTTTCGGCCCTCATCAAATTTCTTAAAATCTCTAATTTTTACTCTTCTGCATTCTTCTCTTACGTATACAAAGAAGCACAAAATACAAAGAGGACATCAACAACTTTCAGACTAAACAAATTTCCTTCCACAGAAGACTCTGGGTTGTCACTCTGTAGACGATGGGAGCAAACCCTCTGGGGTCAGAGCTGGGGACCACATATCCTTCCCTCCTCTTTCACCTGGCATCTCTCTCTCTCTCTTTTAGAAGAAGTTTTTGCTATAGGGCACGTGTGCTTGCCCCAGAGACAGAGAGAGAGAAAAAGTGAGAAATCACCCCTGGGGGGGCGGGGATGGCCACACCACAATCCCTTCTCCTTCATTTTCCTCTTGGGATTTTGGGCATGCATATGCGCCCAGTATGATTTTTAAGCTGCCTCATCTGAAACTCGAACCCTGGTTGTCCATGTGCGAGTCCAGCATCTTAACCACTACACCACCTGCTGGCCCCTTCACTGGCTCTCTGAAGGGATAGGGAACATGGTAGAATCCACCTGTCCAAAATGGCCAACCCACTTGGAGAGGCCAGAGAGAGGGAAGATAATGATGCACCAGCCAGGACTTCTAAAAGATTGTTTTTTTCCATGAGTGAGAGAGACAGAAAAATACGGAGAGACAGTGATCCCAACCAGGCCTCAATGCCGTCGTCCACTCCCAGTCATCCAGTCTCCTGGGCATGTGTGTGTCCAGTACAGTCAGGGAGGTCTCTGGATGCCAGTCCAGAACCTCCCCACATGGTCAGTCTCACAGGCATTTTACTACTGTGCCACTGTCTGTCTCCCCAGGCAAAGCTTTTTTCTTTTAAGAGTTTTTAAAAAATGTTTCCCCTGGGAACCAGCAGTTAGCGTAATGGCTATGTCGCTGGACTCCCACGTAGGCGACCGCGGTTCGCGTCCCGGACCCGGTGGCTTAAAACTCACGCCGGGCACGTGTGCATGCGTGCCCAAGATCCCGAGAGGAGAATGGAGGAGAAGGGATTGCGGCGTGACCATCCCCCCTGGGGGGTGATTTATCGCTTTCTGTCTCTATGTCTCTCTCAGTCTGGTGAGCGCACGCGCCCTATAGTGAAAATCTCTCAAAAAAAAAAAAAAGTTTCCCCCATAGGGTGCATGTGCTAGCCGGTTTTTTCCTCCCCAGGGATTGTCCACACCACCATCCCTTCTCCTCCCGGCATTTTGGGCACACACACATATGTGCCTCACGTGAGTTTTAAGCTGCCAGATCCAGGTCTTGTACTGCAGTTGACCCTGTGGGAGTCCAGAAACGTAACCATTATGCCATGCACTGTCCCCTAGGCAAAACTTGTACCACACCCTTCTCATATAAGCTTGCCCTGTGGACCCTCTCCAGCAGGCTACAGGAGCCCACTGGGAAGGGCAGAGGGATACTGGCGCAGCCCAGAGCTGAACAGGTTTGCTCCAGAAAGAGAGGGAGCCGGGACTGAAACAGTCTCTGCTGCCCATGTACGTGCTCAGCCCGGGGCTGCAGCTCACAGGAAAGATGGGTCAGGCCTGGAGCCTGGCTGTCAACACCACGCGCCCGCCACTGTGGCTGAGCCTGAGGCACGCTGTCACCCACGGTCTGCAGCTCCTCCAAAGTGGCTGGGATTTATCATCCCCAGCTCAGAGGTGGAAATCAGAGCCGGCTCCTGCCTTTGGAGCCCTGCCTCCCTCTCCGCTGAGTTCTTGTGCGAAAGGAAATAGAAGGGCCCCTTGGAAGCTCCAAGTCTTCCCAAGACGCTCTACGCTGGCGCGGCAGCGGACCCTTCGGCTCTGTCCCGGCCCCCCACCGGCGCTGGAAGCGCGGGGGCTGCTCGGGCACTCCCAGGCCCACATCCTGCCGCCGCCTTCCCGGGCGTTTCCCTGCGGGGAGACCCTCCGTTGTTTTTCTGCTGCCGCGGAGTTCGGTGCGGTGTGCACCCGCCACAAAGCCCCGCTTCCCGGGTTGGAGCGAGACCCGCAGCTCCAAGCCTGGGCGCGGATCCCGGCTGGGCCCCCGCGGGTGGGAGTCACCTCTGGTGGCACTGGCTTGACAGCTCCCCAGATGATCCCGTGGGGCTGCGCCCCAGACGCCTGTGCGCCTGTCCACTCTGCGCAGACTGAACACGCAGCGGCTCCGGGGTCGCAGAGGACGCAGGGAGCCCCCCGGGCATAGGGGCTTCCCATCCCGCTATCCTCCCTCACTCTCCGCATCCCGCACAGACTTTTAGCGGGTTCTCTTTCTCCCACCGAGCCACGGCGGCGTGGGCGCGAGGACTGCAACCTCCAACCCGATACGCTGCCGTCGGGGCGCCCTCCAAAAGCAGCGGCTGTCTCCACTTTACCTCCTGGGAGGGCGGCTCCTCCGAGAACTGCGGGTCCAGGCGGTGCACCCCGGGGGCTCGGGAGGCCCGGGGCATCGCGGCGGAGGCTGCGCGCGGGATGGGGGTGCGCGAAGGGGCGGCCGCGCGGGGGGCGC